ACATTTTTCTCACTTTTATGTTATTTTAATTATAAATTTTTTAGTTTATAATTTTATGGTAAAATAAAATAATCTTTTTATTATTCATTTGGTTTCAGCATTATTTGGTTTGGTATAAATTGCAAAAAGATTTCTACAAATTTCTTCAGAAGAGACTGTATTATGCAAAACAAATTCAGTTTTGAGGGGCGTATTAGAATCAAGCAATACAGTTAATATATTATTTGTCTTAAAAACTACCCCAATTAATTGCATAAGGAAAGGAATGATCATAAAATTCTGGACATATTCTTCATCTTTTTATGCAAAATTTACAGAAGTAGAGAGAAAACTGGATCATTTTCTTTTAAGTCTTGGAGCTAATGAAAAAATTTAAAAAGCCTTCAGTAAGGTTAAGAAATAAACACATATCTCAAGTTATCTGATGAACATCTACTTTTAGTCCTGCCCATTTATCTGTGAGACTATCATCTCCCTTAGGATAAAGTTAAAAGACAAATTAGAGTCCTTTCAGGAATGGGAGCATAAGACAAATAGGCCACCGACAGTATTATGTACACCATATTAAAGGTTTGGCTCTGGATGACTGAGAACTGAACCTAGAAAAGGGACACTATAATGAAACAGTGGAGCTCCTGTTGCCATTCCCACTACAAAATGCCTAGACCTCCATAAAAGCCGAGTTTCTTTCACAATTGCCAACCGGGTTTTTGAATATTCTTTATCTCTCCCTCCCCACCACCTAGAGAAAAGTAGCCAGATAATATAACTATCACTACTAAAAAGCCTTTATTCCTTAAAAAGAATGACACTGACTACCTCTGACACTTAAGACTATCAGGAAACCAGATACTTTCACAGCATACAAATTGACATTAATAACTGCCTTTGTGTTACAATTTTCTTTGAACAGCAACAATTCTGCCTTAGTCATCATTTCACATCATTAAATATGTAAATGGATTCATTGTTTGAAGGTGTCATGTTTTTTTCAGAAACTGAAAAGGGAAAGAAATCAATTATTTTATTTTTAGATTTTGACATTTGAGATATTTTATTATAATATTAGTATGAGTTTAATACATGTTATTTACTTAACATAGTAGAAAAGGTCTCACTAATAAAGTCACTAATGTAAACTTAATCCTCATTCAGTTTAGTTTAATAATTATTAATTGAATTGAAGATATAGTCAAAGTAGAGAACATTATAGGTAGGAAGATCATATAGAAAGGTATGACCAAAGCCTGAATGACAAAAGGATAAGCTATGGAAGAGGAGGTCATGTATAAAAGTGGTAAAGAAGCAATGTTTGGAAGGAAAAACTTGAGATAAACGGTAGTGGGGTAAAGGAGGAAATGGGAAAAGAGAAATCAGGAGGGGCTCATGCTTCCTGCATATATGAATATGGATGATATTAAAGGGCTTCTAGGAAGATACAAAATTTTTGAGGGGAAATCAAGGAGTTCAGTTTAGAATACATTCAATCTCAATTTTTAACATTTGGAATTAAGAGGACTGTGGGTCAACCAAAATGAAATGTCCAACAATTATATATTCAACTCGGAATTTCATAAAAAAGAACATTGTTTAGCGTTATCTTTATGTAACGAAAAACAATATGTGCATGTTTGTGCTCCAAAATTTTTGTTTAATAAATTTGGTGTCACCATCATTTGTAGCTTTGTCCACATAGTATTTAGATGTTTCAATGGTAAGCAGTCTATCAAATAGACATGCCATAAACAGCTTCTGGACTTTCGTTGCACATTTGAAACAGAAATTCTTCACTGAGAAGGACTCTTGGGAGTGTCCAATTCTACCCTTTTAGGAAATGAGAAAATTAATTCCGGTTATGAGTAAGATATCCAGTAGCTGAGATTAATAAAGTCTGATGACTTAACCCAGGGTTTTTTCCCACTATCTCACACTTTAATCTTCAATATAAATACCTAATGTCCTCATGTTGACTGAATCATTTCATAAGCAAGAAATAAATTTTATACTTCATAGCACTTAACAGTATATATAACGTAGTTAAAATAAATTGTTTCAAACAAAAATTGTGTTGTTGTTTTTTTTTAGTTTAAAGTAAAACGCATAGCATTCAGATGCCAAATATGATCTAGAGAAAGAAGGGTCCGGACATCGGTAATATTTGCCTATATAAAATATATTGAGGGCATCCTGAAAAAAGGATAATTTCCTAGTAAATGCTATATTGGCTTTATTGGTTGTTTAAACCTATTGAACCTATTAAAATCTATTAAATCTATGAAAAAAATAAACTTCCTTAAAAATTACAACTTGTGAAAACTTTGTTTCGCTATTATAAATGTCTTGCTTTTAACATTAGTCAGTAAAATGTACATTTTATATATACTGCCCAGATTTTGCTTAAATTTCTACTGCATATTTTTTTATTATATTTGGATTACTTTCTATGGTTATATTCCTCAACATAAAACAGAAACTGAAACAGCATAACCCTCTTTGTGTCACTTGTTACACATGAGTGGACTAACAACATTCCGTAATTGCTAAGTAGGAGCAGCAAGACTGGAAAATCCTCCTATAAAACATGGCATTTTTCCTTTAATTAGAATAACTTGGTGAATCTAAGGGTCTAAGTCATAAATGTTCTATAAGTGATATTTTATACTGATGCATTTTCCCCTGTTGTGCTAACTTGGGTTGTGTAAACACATGTACACTCACTTCTTGTCTTAAATCTTAAATTTATTCAAAATTTTAAAATTTATACTCTTATATTTTCCTCCTTTTATAAAAAAATATTTCTAAGATCATAAATGTATTTGGTTTTAGATGCAAATATAAATTAATTCCCCTTATAATGATATATAAATGCCCCCAGAGCAAAAAAAATGTATTTTTCTTTATTTAATAACTCTTTTTTATATTATTTTATACTTACATATTAATTTTCTGTTTTCTACTCAATAGCACATAATAGTGATAAATGCTACTTGTCACTGTGTTAAAATCTATTAGAATGATTAATACATTTTAATCTGAATGTTTTACTTTTGATGTGTATATATAAGATGGCTTGTTAAATTTTAGTTAACTACATTGAAATTCTTATTGGAGGTTCTAAAATGTTTGCCACTGTGATTAGAGTATTTTTATGCATGGAGCAGAGCAAAACAGAAAGACAGAGACAGGGAGAAAAGAAGAGGCAGAGAGAGAATGTTTGTTCAGTGCTAAAGATGTCTAACATATCTAGAACATAAATTTTAAAATAACTTTTTTTCTATAGACACAGACAACAGTTTAGTGGTTACCAAAAGGAAAGGGAGGTGGCTAAGAGGTAGATAGGAGAAAAGGGGGTCAAATATGTGGTAATAGAAGAAGATTTGACTTTGGGTGGTAAATATACAGTGCAATATACATATTATATATTATTGAATTGTACACTTGAAATCAGTATAATTTTATTAACCAATGTTACTCAAATAAATTTAATAAAAAATAACTTTCTTCTGATTGCCTTAAAGATATTTTTCCATAGGTCTCATAAATAGTTGATAGCAGAAAGAGATCTTCATAAATTTATAAAGGAAAAGCAACTCATAGATTTTTAAATCAGAAAAAAAAACACATGAAATTATAGAGAATAGCTGAGTAAGAGTAAGATATTGTAACATTAAGAGATTCTGCATAATAAAGTATCCCTATACCTACTAGAAGAAATATTTGATGGTTATTAGTTACATTGCAATATTTTTTAAGAATAAAATTCTATAGAGAATACTTTTTACTATACAGTCTATTAAATACATGAAAATTGATGTGCCATTATTGAAAATATACATTTCATATAAAATATCCCCAAAATAGGATATTCAGAAGAGTTTGTAGGTGGAGAAATATGAAATTATTGTACTATGCGATAGGAAAATAGTGGCATCTTTGAGGACGTAATTTGGTTAAATAAATCTATTTTCAACAAGGTCTGTATTTATAATGAAAAGAGTACCCAAGACCTCTTATTGACCCATAAGAGATGGAAAAAATAAAAGGGATAAATAAATCTGCATAACTCTATTTATGAAATCCAAAAATAAATGGGTAAAACCCAAAACAGCACTTCACATGCTTATAAGCTGAACTCATTTATTTGCACTTCTGATTGCCAAAAAGGCAAAAACTCCTAAAACCATGTGTGAAAAAAAGCAACTGGAATGTCAACTCACATTTGCAGACACACTGTGCTTTTCTTGAGTGCTTTCCCCACGTGGAAAATATATAGATCATCACATCCCATCTCTATTTCTATAATTACAGCTGAGGTTTAATTCAGTCTATTTGAGTCTGCCTACAAATGGACTCACTTACTTTTAGTATGAACTGATTAATTGGAACAAAAAAAGGACTTTACTTTTTATAAAACTATGGCAATTGAATTTTGTAAACATTCACCATTTATAATCAATTAGCAAAGGGCTATAGCTATATAACTAGATTAATGGTAAAGTGTAAAAAGTGGCAGCTTGGGCCAATTATAAATGTTTCCAAATGTTAAGATAGTTGTCCTCACAGTGGCAAATCTTATCTAGAAGTTTGATTGATTGATTGATATTTAATTTTAATTTAAGCTTAAATATACAAGGCCAGAGTGACTAATCATGGTAAAGTTCATTTGTCTTTAAATCTCTGGCTCAAAAGTTATTTGGCTATTAATATATTTTATATTCTATATTTATTACTTAAAAAATGATATACTTTGCAAATCTTTGTTATTTATATTCCTCTTTGGCATCATTATTTTTGTTGTTCAATATCTATTAACATAGTTTACACTTAAGAGTTTAGATTTTTTTGAAAAATTAAAATAGCTTCAATTTAATATTAACATGTTTGGTTAGAAAGAATGTATAGGGAACTTGGGTAGTGATGTAAATCAGTTGGGAGTAAGAGTACAAGCTGTTCAAAGACATTTATTTGAGTATTGTATGAGGACCTATAAATACTTAGCAGTGACTGTGAGAAACACTTTGGCCACAGGCCAAACAAATTCCAAGCGGAGCCACACAGTCATATCTTCTTGGTCAGCTTGCCCTGCATCAATGATGGTTAGCATGCTTCCACCACTGACATGGAATTTACCACTATCAGTAATCTGAGCACCTGCCTCATGGGTGAAAAAGAATTGTCACTGAGAGAAAACGTGATTCCTTATAAAATAACATCTTTACATTTCATTTCATGTAGTTTTATCTGCTCAACGAATATTTACTAAGTGCCCACTACATGTCAAGCACTAGATGAGAAGCACTATGAATCTAATGAAAAGGAGGAAAAAGAGAAATAGATATCCAGAAACTTAAAATTAAAGAATCAATTATGTTGAAATAATAAGGCTTAAAGAACTAAAGGGAGTATGATATATAAGTAAAGTTATTATTTCTTTAAAGTCACTAAAGTTTTGAACCAGGGAAGTACTTTTTTTCATGTCACTTTGTCTTAATGCAAAGCTTTTCATTCCTTCCTTGTATCAGCTAGTGACCTACTTTTAATACACTTCTGAGTTATTCATGCAAAATTATTTCTTGCTACCCATGAAAACTCTTAATTTATACATGACAAGAGCAATTTTTCCTTAGAGGAATTTAGTTATGCTTATGAAGCTATTTACCAAGCAAATGAGAAAAAATAAACTTTATCAAAGCCCTGAGCCAAAATCAAATATAGTCACTTTTAAGAAGAAGATGAAAGAAAAGGATAAGGGGTAGGGGACGGAGAGAGGAAAAGGAGGAAGAAGAAGGAGGAAAATGAGAAGGAAGAAGAAGGAAGAAAAGGAGGAGGAGGAGGAGGAAGAGGAGGACGAAATAAACCTGTTTCGTGTGAGAAGTATTACTTGCTAGCAAAAATCGTAAGTAATAAATCAATATGATAATCATTACCTCTGTTTCGGTGGATCAATACATTTGTCAGTATTTTTAATATTACTGTACTTTGAGCTCTTACCTTGAGCTCTTACTTTATTCCAAGTAATTATGGGCTGTGGTTCTCCATTAGCATGACATGAAATGTTTATATTACTTCCAACTTTTACACTTGTATCATGAGATAGTTGAGTAAACACTGGGAGAACTGTGGAAACAAACCAAAATAATGTCACGTCAATATTATTTTTGTCAATATGTGCCAGCCAAGTCAAATAGTATAAATATGGATACTATATTGGTTAGCCACACTAGTTTTTAAAAAATCAATTACTTGGACATCTGAGAAAATAATAAACATTAAATTCAAGGTAGTAGCAATCAGGGTAGAGGTGAGAGCAGAAAAAAGGGAAGAGGAATATACACTGTCTTTAATCATATTTGTAATATTTATTTCTTCATATGAGTAGTGGGTACAAGAATTTCATTATTCTTCCTCAATATCTTTTTATAAGTCTGAAGTAAAGATACATGGTAACATCAAACATTTATTGCTGGCTAAAATAAAAAGATTTAATCTTACCTTATTTTTTTCAAAAAACACAGACTACATAACTCACCTGATATGAAATAGTAAATTGGAATGTCCCTGTAACTATTAAGAAAACTGAATTGACAATTGTTTAAAATCCCAAAAAACAAATCTTCAGGAGGATAAAACATTTACTTTTTTTTTTAATTGCAGTTGACATTCAATATCATTTTATATTAGTTTCATGTATACAGCATGGTGGTTAGACATTCATGTAATTTATAAAGTAATCCCCTCATTAGTCTAGTACCCGCCTGGCACTATATATAGTATTTCAATATTATTGTAATAACTATGCTGTACTTCACACCCCATGACCATTTTGTAATTACCAATTTGTACTTCTTAATCTCTTCACCTTTTCATCTAAAGAGGAAAAGCCATGTAATAATATCAATTAATACAAAATAGAGTTTGGCTAAACTCAACACATTTATAATTAAATAAAACTGCTCAGAAAAATAGGAATGGAACAACTAAACGCGTTTTAAAAATGAACATAGACAAATAAAACACTACAAAAAACTTTTGACTTAATGGTGAAAGAGTGACTGTTTTCCCTCTCAGATAGCAAAGAAGCCAAGGAAGTCTGCTCTCACCACTTTCATTCAACCTAGGGCTGGGTGTTTCAGCCAGTGTAAGAAGGAAGGAAAAGGACATAGAAGGCATACAAATTGGGGGAAAAAAAGAAATAAAATTTTTCTATTTGCAGATGATTTTATTGTCTATGTAAAAAATTCTAAGAAATCTACAAAAATACTTTGAAGTGAGCTCAATAAGATTGTAGGATACAAGATAAATGTAAAAAAAAATATGTTTATATATTCAAGCAATGAACATATGGACATAGACATTTTAAAAACAATTTAGAAGTGTTCAAAAACATTAAAATAATTAGGAATAGATCTAACAAAATGTATACAGTTCTATATGCTGAAAACTACAAAATGTTGATGTAAGAAATTAAATAAAATCTAAGTAGAGAGACATATCATATTCATGATTGGAAGTCTCAAGATAGTAAAAATTTTATTTCTTTACAAACTGACATTAAGTTTAATGCAATTTCTATCGAAATTACAGCAAGATTTATTCTTTGGAAATATAAGCAAAATTATTATAAAATTTATATGAAAATGCAAAATAACTGGCATAGCTGAATAATTTTGACAAAGAAGGATAAAGAGGAATATGCCTATAAAAAATGATTATATAGCTGCAATAATAAAGACAGGCACATACATCAACGGAGAGAGTAAAGAATCAAATAATAGAACCACACAAATATGTTCAATTGATATTGACAAAGGTACAAAAACAATTACACAGAAGACTTTTTTAACAAATGATGCTGGAGCAATTGGAAATTTATCCATAGGAAGAAAATGAATTGTAACCTAAGTCTCATACCTTATACAAAAATTATATCAAAAAGGACAACAAATGTAAATATAAAATGTAAGACTATGAAGCTTTTAGAAAAAAGAAATAAGAGAAAATCTTTGGGCTAGGCAAAGAGGTTTTCGATTTTGCATCAAAAGCACTATCCCTCAAAGAAAAAAAATAATAAATTAGACAGTCAAAATTAAAAATGTTTGTGTTGTTAAAGACCATATCGAGAGGATGAAAAGAAAAGTTACAAACTAAGAAAAATAGTTTCAAACCACATATATAACAAAGGGTTACTGTCTAGAATATGTAAAAAGCCCTTAAAATTCAACAATAAAAGACCAAACAATTCAAATACAAAATCTGCAAGACACGACATTGCACTGAAGAAGATATGCAGATGACAAAAAGTATATGGAAAGATGCTCAACATCATTAGTCATTAGAGAAATATAAATTCAATTTATGATTCTATTTCTATATAATTTTTCTGTCTGAATTATTTCTTTTTTATTAAAATTATTGAGGTGACATTGGTTAATAAAATCAAATAGGTTTCAAGTATATAATTCAATAAAATGCCATACATATATTGCTTTGTGTGTTCACCACCCAAAGTTAAATTTCCTTCCATGTGTCCTTTGATAGATTGGATAAAGATGTGGTACATATATACAATGGAATATTACTCAGCCATAAGAAAAGATGAAATACTGCCATTTGCAACAACCTGGATGGATTTTGAGGTTATCATACTAAGCAAAATAAGCCAGACAAAAGATTGAGAACCATATGATTCCACTCATATGTGGGATATAAAACTGAAAGCAACAAATATATAACATTGTAGAAATAGAGAATTGAAAATTGTAGAAATAGAGAACAGATTAGTAGTTGCTTGGGTTTTAGTTGGTGGTGAGTCTGGAGGGGGTGAGAATGGGAGGGAAGTAAGCATGGCTTAGAAAAAGAGCAACATAAAGAATCTTTGTAGTTATGAAAATTTTCTGGATCTTGACATATTAGGGTTCTGGTTGTGATATTGTACCACGTTTTGAAAGATGTTGCCACTGGGGAAAATTGGATAATGGGTACACTGGATTTCTCTGGTTGTTTCTAACAATCAAATGTGAATCTACAGTTGTCTCAAAATGAAAAATTTAATTAAAATAATTCAACTATGTGGACAGGCAAGGGAATCATAAACACCAAACCCAAGTTAGAGGCAAGTAGACTGAAGTAGAGAACAAGTAGAAAAGAAGAGGAATGAATAGTCATTTTTAAGCATATTTGTAATGTTTATTTCTTCATTTCGGTAGTGGATATAAGTGTTTTTATCATACCTTTCTTGATATCTTTCAGTATGACTGAAATAAAAATAAAAATTTAATATAAAAAATTACTACTAAGATAAAAAAAATCTGTTAAAATGAGAATCTTATTTTGTTTTCTTATATGCTAAGTGAATGCATGTATTCAGGTTTGCTGAGACCATGGCTTAGAGATTCCTGACAATGCAAAGTGGATATCTCATGAGGACTGGTGAATCTATTACAATGGCAGTGACCCTTCTGATTCAACCAAGGGGCCACTAACATCTAATATTTCACATCACGGCCCTGATTTCCAATATTTGCAAACATGTTCACCTCTTGTCACAACAACTACTCATTACCATAGGTTGTGACAAAGTACAACCATCAGAAATGTCTAATACCACACTCTAAAGCAAAACTTCCTCTCTCTACTGCTCTTTTATCACCTCATTTTTAACTACATCTAAACTCCTGGGAACCTTCTTCTTCTTTCCTATTACCAACACCCTCCTAGTTTTTCATTCTCTTCTTTTTTTGGTCAAGATCCCAAGTTCCATCACCTCTACCACTTCCCTTCCAGCTCCTTTACAACATTGTCCTTCTGTTCAACATATCCTCATTGTTTTCTTTTCACCTCTCCTCTCAAAATATATGGAGTAATCATATCTTAGATTGTCAATGACAAACTGCTCTTGTCACTACAGTCCAATTTAACAAAAATAAAAAGTATTCTAACCATTTACTACTTTTTTCAAGTCACCTACTTTATTTCTCAACACATTATTCTCCTATAAAATTATGCATCTTCTATTCCACAGAGAAAAACAAGAGCCATTCCAATATAAATTCCTCAAGTTCCTATCAGAGAGGTATCTCTCTCTACACTCACTCTTGGCTCCTCTCCACTCATGTAAACCAAAGAAATTCCAATTCTCTTGACTTAAAGGCAAATTGCTTCACTGAATTTGCAAATTCCATCTACTTTTGCCACCTGGGAGGTCTTGAACTATTTATTACTCATTCTTGCTTCCATCTTTCTGATTTCTCCTTCCCTTCAGAAAGTACTTCAGAAAAACAGGCTTTTCACCTTATTTTCTCATGTCTCTGCCTTATCTTTACTGCCACTGTTTTACTACTTCCCTTCATGAAAAAAAAAATTATTGAATAAAAGAAATAGTCTCCGCTCATCACACCATATGTCATTCACTCCTACATCTATTTCCAAGGCTTTGGTTCCCTTGATTGTATGAAAATTGTTCTTGTTTAGATCCTTATAATCAGAATCTTAAAAAAAAAAATCCAGTCTTTATTGAAAGCATATATATATATATTGAAAGCAAATATATATATATTGAAAGCAAATATATATATATTGAAAGCAAATATATATATATTGAAAGCAAATATATATATATTGAAAGCAAATATAATTTGGCTTTTGACACATTCGACCATTGTCTCCCTCTGGGGATAATTTTTTTCTTAGTTGTTGAGAAGCCTGTTTCCTCTGGATGTCTGTATCATGCTGGGCATTCCTTTATGATGCCATTCACAGATATTTTCCCCCCTCTACATTCCAAGGAAGTCCTGTCCTTGGCCTCTTCACCTTCCCACTTAACATACCACCTTAGTTCTAGATTACTTCTTTACACCATCAACTATACAATGTAGCTCTATGCTCATAAACCAACCATCTCATATACATCTATGTTCAATCCCAACAAGCGTACCAAATTGAACTTTTTTCCCAAACTATATTCATTATCTTTCCCCGTTTGCTAATTTATTTTTATTTTTTGCTATTGAACTAGGAAATTCTCTATATATTACAGATAAGGGGATAAAAACACTTATTAGTGATTTTTTTCTTAATTTTTTTAAGTTTTTATTAAATTTATTAGGATAACATTGGTT